ACACACACACACACACACACACACACACACACACACACACACACACAGTGGTGGTTTGAATGAAAATGGCCCCAATATGGTCACATGTTTGGTCCACAGTTGGTGGAACTGCTTGGGAAGGATTAGGGGGTGTGGCCTTAGTGGCGTAGGTGTAGCCTTGCTGGAGGTGGTTTGTCATTGTGGATGGGCTTTGAGTTTTTAAAAGCCCAATCCAGAACCTCTCTTTCTCTGTCTCTCTCTGTCTCTGTGTCTCTCTCTCTGCCTGCTGTCTGGATTAGGATGTAAAGCTCTCAGCTACTGTTCCATCACCATGCTTATCTGCTTCCTGCCATGGTGATTATGGACCAACCCTCTAAAACTGTAAGCAAGCTCCCAATTAAATTATTTCTTTTGTAAGAGTTGCAGAAGAACAGTAATAAGACACATGCATTCAAACAAAAGTATTACTATTAACACTTCTGATGTGTAGAAATGTTTTCATGAAGTTACTTGAACCAGTAAAACACACTGAGAGACAGATAATGTGGATAACTTACTTCTGTCTTATTGTGACAAAGCTGAGGCATACAGTTAATATATAGTGGGATTAGGGCTAGACTCTGATTGTCTCAGTTCTGTAATATACTCTACATCATAACACTCAGCTGCTGTTTACCTGAGTCACCACCACGTAAGAGAGGCTCCCAATACTCAGTCATTTGTGAACTTTTACTAGTTTGTCTTCTGCCAACTTAAAGATAAAAGCTAAGTTCTAAAAAGATAGAGTGAAGTAGCTCAGACCACTGAACTAGTGATTGATAAACCTATAAGTAGCACTTGCTTCTCCTGAATTACAGGTGAGAGATAGACAGGGTGGTAAACTGAAAAGAATGTTACAGGTTTCAGAACCAGCCATATGCTGCTGCTTTCTTTGTGATCTTAGGCCACCTATTTAACCACATTGACCTTCAGTTCCCTTATCCGCAGGATGAGACTAGCTAATGCAGAAGCTCAGTAATGGTCATAAAATACAAACTATCTAGTACTTAGACACTCATTTGCCTGTAAAATGTATCCTTTTCTAGGGCATGTATAATTATTTGGGAGCCCAGAATGAAAGATCACAAATTGATAATTTCAGTGGAGACTTAAGTACCTACTATTAGCATTTTTAAATACCTGTAGATCTTACTGAAATGATCTTTCTGGTTCAGCATGCCTGTGCAGGGTCCTGAGAGCCTGGTTTCTGATAAACACAAGATACTGCCCAGTGCAGCTTGTCTGCAGATCACACTTTAAGTAGAACACTTTATAAAATATTAGCATTCCCCCAGACTTCCACTTCCATGAACTGCTAAAGCATTCAAGAACAAATTCATAAATATCTGTGCTGGAATTAGAGTATTCCTATTCCCACTGGCTCCTCTGGAAGCCTGTTAGTCTTCCTGGCCAGAATTCACTTCTTCCTTAATTACTATTGTAGTCTTTTTTTTTTTTAATTTCTCTCTCATAGAATTTGGATTTTTTTTCTTGGACTGTACATTTTTAAATTAATGTGTTGCTGCTCTTTGAAGTTATAGGGCAAATCATATTTGGAAAATAAATACTTGAGCAATCTGCACATGGTAACACTGCCAGCATGATCAAGGCCGGAGTGCTTCATGGCAAATTCAAGGTCACTCTGCACTATGTAACAAAACCCTGCTGCAGATTATCTAATATTAATAGCAATAAGAAGAAATTTAAAAGAATATTTAACTGAAAGAAAGATTCAATGTCTCTCACTTTGCCTGTGAAGTCCCTATAACATGTGGCCTGAGGCATTCACCATGTAGTTAGATTTGGGAAGAAGCTGTAAAAATGTTGAACCATAGCAAAAATTCCGTATATAGGAACAGCCCAAAATAAATGTAGATTTGGGAGCCAGCCCAAAAAGGCTTTAAATGGTCAATGTGTGGGGTTTTTTTTTTAATGCATACTAGAGAAAACAATGACTTTTAGAAGCAATGCAGAAATTCTGAAAGACATTTCGGGAATTCCAGTTCCACTAAGAACACAAACTCCATCAAACTATTGCCTCTATGAGTACAAATCACAATTACAGACAAAGTCTCAAATATAAAATGTAAAACCCAAAGCTCTGAAAAGTTCTAAGGCCATAATCCGTGATGGCAGGGAAGGCATGGTAGTGGGCAGCCCTGTCCTCAGCTGTGGGTGTGTATGACATAACTTGTTCAAATCTCAGTCGATCAGGAAGCAAGCTGATGGAGCCAGAGGTAGATTTCATAACATTCACGGCCTGTTCTCTGCCCCCTAATCTCCTTCCTCCAGTTGGGACCCATACACTTCCAAAACAGCATCACCATTAGTAACAAAGTGTTAAAACACAAAAGCCTATAGAGCGGTTTCACATCAGACCTGTAACACAAGCTAAAAGAAAAAAGCCACAGAGAATCATGAAACAAAGAATTGGGCTTTGAAAAGCTAAGTAAAATTAACAGTGCTTTAGGAGAAAAAAAAAAGAAAAGATGCAAATAAAATTAGTGTTGAAATGGAAGCTATGATAATAAATACCATACAAATGAAGAGGATCAATATTGTCAAGAAGAAAAACTAGAACCAAGTGGATTCACTGCTGAATTTTATGAAAACTTTTTTTCATAATTTTATGAAATCATGAATTAATGCCGATTCTTCTCCAGTCATGCCAAGGATCCTAAAGTAAGGGACCCTTCCACATTTATTCTATGAGTCCAGTTACCCTGCTACCAGAGTCAAACATAACCAAGAAAGAAAAAGAAATAAAACTGTGGATCAGTGTCTTTGATGAACTTAAATATAATACTTTCTCCACAAAATACCAGCAAATAAAATTCAGTAGCACATCAAAAAGATCATTCACCATTATGTGTGTGTGCACATAATAGAAAGAGAAAAACAACTCCTGCAAATTGTCCTGTGACCTCCACACACATGCTGTGGCGTACCCATTCCCAAGCCCATATATAAACACACATACTCACACACCAAGTAAGTAGCCGAACGAGTATAATAAATTTTTACAAAGATCACTCTATTCACCTGGAGCAAAATGATTTCATTCCAAAGATGCAGAGGTAGGGATGGTTGACGAATCAATAAACAGCACACAACATCAGCAAAATGAAAGGTAAAATCATGTCATCTCAATAGAAACATATTGCATAAAATTCAGAAACTTTCTGATAAAAGGCTGAACAAATTAAGAACAGAGGGTTTATTTGATAGTATAGTAAAAGCTACTTAGGACAGACTCAGAGTCAACATTATGCTCATTGGGAAAAAGCTGAAACAATCCTCTAACTTCAAGAATAACACAAGGATGTCCACTCGGATTAGGATTGCTTTGGTGTTTCTATGTAAATTTTAGAATTGCTTTGTCTAGGTGTGCGAAGAATATCATTTAAGTTTTGATGGGAATTGCAGTAAATCTGTAGATGTAGCCATTCTCATTTCATTAATTCTGCTAATCCATGAGTATGAGATGTCTTCCCATCTTCAAGTGTTGTCTTCAACTTCATTCTCCATTAAGGTTTTTATTATGGAGGTCTTTTGCTTCCTCAGTGACATTTATTCATTTGTGTTTGTCTTATTGTCTGTGTGTTCTGCCTTGCTTATTTAGAAATAAGTCATGTTTTAGTGAGCTAAACTTCAGTTCTGCTTAGAATGTATTCCTTTCTATATT